AATTATGAATCTTTCAATTTTTTTGTTAGTCTGATTTTCAAGGTGCTACTTCCATCAAGAATATTGTCAATCAAAAATGTTTCAAAAAAACTTGAGTGTAATTAAATGGAATTTTACTTCATCATAAGTATAAATACAAGTCGAAATATGTTCTTAGAGATCTAGGATAAAAAATTTAAGATCGAAACTCAGTATTCCTTCCATTATTAGCAAATTTTTTGGATATATTTTATAACCAACTATTCTTACTATATTTATAATCGGGGTTATTCGAAATATCTATTAATTAATTTTGTCACAGTGTCTATGTATAAATCTTGTTTAATGATATCTAATAAAGTAAAAAATTCCAATGTCAAGAAAATAGTATAATTAACGATCAAAGGGGAATCCTAAGTAGTAGGACACCACCTCGGACATCTTATTTAGGAAGATGCTATTTTGCTCGATGGAGAAGAAGGAGAGATCATACGGGGTGAAGACACTTCTGAAGATGAAAATGATGGAGATTGGAATTGACTCTGATATCAACGAAAGATGGGCCAAGTACTCTATGAGGGAGGCCTTCCTTATAATCGCTCCGAAAATCTGGATTCGCAAATAAAGGGAAGAGAAAAGATTTTAAAGATTTTCAATTGGAAAAATTTTTAGAATTAATTAGAATCTAACAGAAAAGCAATTAGATTTAATATGGAAGGATACCTGAAAGTGCAACCAGAGATTATTCATGCGTGACTAATCATATATCGACGGGATCAATTCCAGTGTAGATAAACTCAATTCTTGGGAGCACTTAACCACAAAAAAGGTATATCACTTATTCACAGATGACATAGATGTGGTTTACCATGTTCTATTACTTAGGAGTTAAGTCGAAAGTTTGAAGTCATTTTTCTAGAAAAGAGCCAATGAACTATTTAGCTACTATCTCGAGATTGGTCTTAATAAATAAGTAACGCACACAAGAAGATAAGTAGAGAGAATTCGGAATTGAACAAGGGTAGATAATCTAAATACAACTTATATAAGTGGGGAAGAAGTATGACTAAGAATCGGTAGATAACTAGATATGATGAGGAAACTAAACATAGATCTATTACTATCATCCACAATTTGGCACAGCAGTGCTGATGCCTAGAAAGAGCTTAAGGAAATTGCACAGTTAGAAAGAGTCTTAACCTCGGCTCAATTGATGTTTGGAGATAAGGGCACATCTATTCTTCCGATTAAACATCTCATAAGAGTTTATAAAGTTTGTGGAGCAATATGGTTGCAGCAACTACCTCAAGTCTTTCTTGAAGTTATCTTGGGAATTTGTTAAATTACCCTTAGCAGCAAATGAGGCTGACTACATTATTCAAAGGGTAAGCTTATGACTTAGATCAAACAGCAAATTATAAAAGAGATGGAGTTCCAAGAATTAGTTGATGATAACATACTCCTCTTGAGAGGATAGCGAGAGACCACATTGAACTAATAGATGTCAACTATGACTCATCGGTTATTGAGCTATTTATTTTCCTCAACTCTTAGAGGATTGAACTAATTTTAATAAGAACTATGGCAGATAACAGATGTAGCACTAGATTCTAAAAGTACTCACTGAACCCGATGAACAATCCAAAATACTCATATCCATATTAAACAGCTATTAAGACATGAGGATATGCCAAGTCTACCCTACTATGAGAAATTGATATTCCCTCTATGTTTTACGCTCTCCAATCGCCCAGAAATACAGCACGAACCTTGTTATCCCAAGAAACCATTCATAGTTTTTACATTATTCACATCGATTATTACTATTTTAATAACAATAGCAATGAATTAATTGATGAACTTAAAGGCATTAACAATCAATCTAAAAGTAACATAAGAAAGAATTAATATTTATAAACCTGAAGTTTAACATTTTGTTGTAAAATATTATAATGGCAAATTTTTAGTGCAGTTTTAGTAGTTCATTTTTTATTTTAAATATATTAAGATCTACATTTTATAAGCATGATAAGTCAAAAGTATTAAGAAAGATAAAATATTAGATTTTTGATAAACAAAATAAAAAATATGAAGCTAAATGCTAAGGAAAATATTGAGACAACGAAAAATCAGTTGTGTATGGAACTAAGAAGCAGCTGAAATTAAATTAGATTCATACCTCTAATATTTCAATTATAACTAAATCAAATTTATTAAATGAGAAAAACAATAATCAAAATAAAAATAAATAATGGATTGAATATTGATTGAAACCAAAATATCAATTGAAACAAATCTAATTTAAATGAAATTTTTACGCTTTAGAGAATCAATTATGTTATGAATACAATGACTAAGAAGTACTTAAGTGATTTTTTTTGTTATTTTGGAAGTTACACTCTTTAAGCATTGAATAAGCAGCGTGAGAAATGTTTGTAATCACTTGCCAATATGATGTAAATATTAAATTCGTCCTTCACTTTGAACTAGACCCTTCAGAGCTGAAATTTATTACAAGAAAAGAAAATACACGGCAATAAGATGGCACCATAGATCCTATAGCTCCTGCAGCAGAACCTTTTTCTTTCTAGTTTTAAAATGTGGAAAGATACTCATTTGAAATAATTTAATAATAATATGACTAAAATATTCATCTTGAACAAAAGCAGCATTAAAAATCCGAAAAGCATGCCTAATATGTAAAATACTTAGATAATCTTAATCTCAGTTTAGAATTAATGTGAATTTTTAGGATAAATTACGAAATTGCGTATCAAATAGATTATTGATTTTAGACTAAAAATAAAATCTTTTACAAAGTTTCAATAAACTTAGTAATATTTTTTGAAACATATAAATTCTCTGGTTATGATCTCATCACTATAAAAGGACTTGCCATAATAATAATGCACGCACTTTTTAGTAAGTAAAATTAGTTAGTAGAAAAGAAATGAATTCTTTAAATGCTAATTAAATATAAGTAAATACATTTAAGAAAAGGTTATTCTGTTTTCATTAATTATGTTAAGTCAAATTAATTAAAGTATTAAATTTAACTCTTTATTTCTCTGTCTAATCTCTGTTTTGAATAAAATTTGAGAAAAATAGAAAGACTGAAGTGTTACTGAAGTTTTTATAATTCAATCAATCATATAATTATACTTAATGTAATAAATTTTTTAATTATTGAGATTAATTGCTTATACCGAAACAATACACTTTCCTATATATAAGAGAATTTCGAAAAGATAAATGAGAATAATATCAAAAGAATTTATTTTGTCACTGGCAATTAAATTATTATGAGTAAGTTCTAATTTAGATTTCGATTTAACCTAAAAGGAGTAGATTCACCCTCAAAGTTTGTAAAAGTGCTCTGTTGCCCTTTCAATGCATCTTCCCTTAGG